GAAAAAATTTAGCCAAATGGAATTCCTTTCAAATTATGAAAAATCAAGGCCGCTATCAGTGAAGCAAAAAGATACACTTATCGAGTTTGTCTACAGCAGGCCCGAAATGTTTCAGGGTAAATTTTCAGACACATATACCCATGCAACAAATGTGATGCTATGGAAACAAATTTCAGGCATCCTTAACTCAATTCCAGGCGGATCTAGGAAATAATGAAAGCAATGGAGAAAGGTAAATTAAAGCAATCACGTTATTGGATTTGAAAAATCATATGAGCTGTTTTATTTGAAATTGGTGTAAGCGTATTTTATTTAATATGGATATATAAAGTTTCGCATTTGAATAATTTAAAAAAATGTATATAGGTTGTATTTCGTAAATATTAAATTAATTTAAATTTATAATATAACCTTTTTTAATCGGTGATTAAAAAAATATCTAATTTTAAAAACTTAAACTATTCTATAATAAACTAAATATAATAAATATGATAATTCCATTACAAACTGGAAATTCTGGAAAACTATCAAAATGTTTATGTCATTTACAAAGCAAATTACAAGCAATTAAATGGACAGTTTACTGACCCCCTGATGTGAACCGTAGGCACTAACAAAGTGTCTACCCTTGAACCATAAATTTTCCAAAAGAACAACTGTCGAACACATGTGGCCGTGCAGACAACCGATCACAATTCTATCAAATAGGTGTTAATCTTAGTTAGGGTCTGTGGGTCAATTCTTGGAAATATATAAATATATATTAGTCGACTAATCGCAAAAACAAAGAAAACGCACAAACAATTATATAGTATAATTTTGAACTAAATAGTAGCATGTCTTTGAGGAAAGTGGATATTTTTAAAGTAATTGTATTTGCAACTTTATCAAATACGAAATTTGTGATGATAAAAACAAGTAAAATTTTGACTGATTTTACGTCAAAATAAACTTACACTACGGCCCACCAATACTAGGGTGAATCGTTTGTAATCATTTCTTTACCTTACAGACTTTTGTAGACATAAAAAAAAATGTGAAAAGCAAGCAGGCCAAAATTAAGGCGCACAGTAGAGGCACAGGAGGTGGTCCACCTTTGCCTCCTCCAAAATATGAGGAAGAAGACGGTCGTGAGACAGAAGAAAAATTTTAGAAATGATTACCCCTGTTGCCCTTAATGGAAATGGGGAAGTTCCTGAACCGGAAATAATTTTGGAGGATTTTTTAGAAGATTCAGTAAGTCAAGATATTGTCTGCATACTTAGGAAGTAAAATTGGTTATGTATAATTTTAGATAGTACTAGATCATTCCTATTTATTGAGGGAGCACCCTGAAACAGGAAAAGCAATTTACTTAGAAAATTCATTACCTGGACCATCGACGGAAATGAATTCCGATTTGCCCGATCCACCTAAGAAGAAAAATCGAGGTTCATCAAAAAGAATGACTAAGTCTGAAAGACTGAGCCAATCTTTAGAAAATAATAAGGATTTTATAAAACTAAGCCAAAGTGGCATATCTTCAACCGAGACTTATAGAAAGGATTTTTTTTTTCCGGTGAGGTATGGGAAATGCTCTTTTACGCACTCCCAGAGCTGGTGGTCTGTCGCTCTGGTGTGTGTGGGACTCCAGCTAAGCTGTTTGCCCACTAAAACCCGTTCCTCACCGGCGAGGTGGTGTTTGGCCTCGCACCGCGGTCATTTCTGTCCTATTGTGCCCTCGTACTTTTACTCCCTCATTATCCCTGTATATTTAATGAATTCCAGAAGAGTCTTGAGAGGAGTTTGCATGATCTGGTCTGGTGGAATTTCATCCCCTCCCAGGAGTCTTCGTCTAAATGTTGCATATGACGTGCAGTGACACATAACATGCAGAGTAGTTTCGTCCTCTAATTCGCAACCCCTGCAGGTCGGTTGATCACTCAGTCCCATCC